AAATTACAAGACCCGCGCTATCTATTGGGACCCGTAAAACGGTTTCAACATCGAAGGAGCCGCGCAAGAGCTGGTGTCAGTAAAGAGAGTAACTTCAGTAAGTGTAGCATGACGCAGTAAAATCAGGCTCATCAATTTTTGGGTATGTGCAGTAATTTGAGTCATATTAAAGCTTGTTCACTTGTCTTACTTTCAAAGAAAAATTACAAATCTATCTTGAACAGAAGTAGAGGTATTTGCCATTGAAGGAGGTGGAGGTCACCTGGTGTCAGAGGTAAATTTAGCAATAAAATAAATGGCACCAAACTTTGGTAACTTCCATGGCTTTAGAGTCTTTGAAAACTGAAAAGTTACATTTTCTTGTGCTTTAAACAACATTTTGGAGTAAAGTCCTCAGCGAAATGTGTTTTTAAACGGATATAAAAGGTGTTGATCTAAAAAAATAATTTTTTTTTAAAGATAAAAATTGCCAAACCTGCAGAAAAGTGCCATTTCTTCTATTTCCGTACAATGTATTCTGACGAGCGCCTGGTTTTACTACGATGACTCTCAATTTCTCCTGTTATGTTGACTTTGTGATCCGAGCATTAGGGCTGAGCAGTGAGTCGCTTTAGTAAAAATCCGGATAATAGTATGTTAGTGTACCTCTTCGGCAAATATGATATGAACCTCTTCAGAAAATGGGTTAAAACCACTTCGACAAACGGGTTAGGACTACTTCAACGAATTCGTGCACCCACTCGGCAAACGGGTCAGGAAAGAGAGTTGAGAGTCTGAATAATATTTCATTGAGAATTATCCGGTTTTCCTTATAGATAATCCGGATTTTGCCCACCTGTACCGAGCATACACCCGGTGATTTGCTGACGCATCATACGTATGTTGAACAGGGTTGTTGGAATATTAAGTGAGACTTGACACATCACAGTTAAATGTATGCCCTCGGGGTCCATATCATAATCATGATCATTGCCTTTCTCACTCTGGATCAAGGTATAAGCCACGAACAAACACATTCCACCTTTCCCTAGCCGGGACTAGCCTTTTAATGTTATCCAATATCTTCCCACTTTTCTGTGGGGTCCATATATAATAGCATAATAATAACATTGATACTATATAGCACACCCCCACCCCAACCTCCATAATATATTGTTCCAACAAACGGCAAAAGGGTCTACAGCCTATTTGGCTTACTTCTTTCTGGTGCCGACATTGACAGAGGAGTAAATGAGAAGGCTGGAGGATGCACACATAGTATGATGGGAGACGCGCTGAAATTTAGCTTTTGCCCTTTAAAAAAATATCTCTGTCTCTGTCTTCCACTCTCTCTCTCTCTCTCTCTCTCTCTCTCTCTCTTTCTCTCTCTCTCTCTCTTTTTTTTTTGGTCTGTCTGTCTCTCTCTTTCCCTCTCTCTTTCTCTCTTCTTTCTCTCACTCTCTCTTTCTCTCCAAAGTGAATGGCCACATTAAACCCGTCAAATGTAAAAAAAACCCCACCCCACAACAAATGGTGTCAGTGATTGCAAAAAACAACCCAGCAAAACAAAACAAAACAAAACAACCCCCCCCCCCCCAAGACATTTTTTTCAAATTACGAAACAAAAAATACAAGAGCGGAAGAAAAAAAAAGCAACCCAAAAACAACCGAGTACAGCTTTGCACAGACACTATGTCACAGACACTATGTCACAGAAACTATCTTATTTAAGAGCACGAACAAACAAACAAAAAGGTATAGTTTATTAGACATAAAAGCTACAAATTTCATACAATAAATAGGATAATACTGAGGCGACTGGACACTTTCTTCTACAATCTTCAACTGCACTTTCCACGAATACACTCAGCAACTTTCAAGAGCCCCCCCCCCCCTAAAAAAGATAAATAAATAAACAAATGAATTAAAAAACCTCCCCCACAAACAAACAAACAAACAAACAATAACTCAAATTAAGTTTCAAGGAAACAGAGCCAAAGTAGAACGAGTCTATTTAGAAATGAGGAAGATATTTGAACTCGCAAACATAATGCACCAAACACAGCCTTACGTAAACTAAAAACACATAGAAATAAAAGCCCAAGCAACATATTTTTGTTGTTTTTTTTAATCAAAAGAGGTAGGTTCCAGAAAATTAAAACAACTGAAAATGAGAATACAATTTTCGGATCAATAATCAATATTACGGAGAAGCAAGCATTTATCAAGAACTGAATAAATGAAATTTGAAACATCACAGTTGCGACGTTATACGCGTATACCGAGAGAGAGAGAGAGAGAGAGAGAGAGAGAGAGAGAGAGAGAGAGAGAAAGAGAGAGAGAGAGAGAGAGAGAGGGAGGGAGAGAGGGAGAGAGAGAATGTGTGTGTGTGTGTGTGTGTGTGTGTGTGTGTGTGTGTGTGTGTGTGTGTGTGTGTGTGTGAGAGAGAGAGAGAGAGAGAGAGAGAGAGAGAGAGAGAGAGAAAGGAAGAGAGAGACACGAGTCATTGTGACGTGTGATATTACGTGATATGGGTAGGCCTACATCTTGAGGCAAAGAAACTTTTGAAATCACACTTTTAAGGGCGAATCAATACAGCATAATATTTACTACTCATATATTATACGCAATAGCAAAATATGGATTGATGACGTCATCCGTCACTTCTAGGTCTGAAAATAACAAGGTGGATCAATCATCTCGTCCCTTCTATCTCTAAAAATGAATGACAGAGTGGATGAATCATCTCGTCCCTTCTATCTCTAAAAATGAATGACAGAGTGGATGAATTATCCAATCACTTGTATCTGCAAAAAGGGTAGGGTGGATGAATTATTTCATCACTTGTATCTGCAAAAAGGGTAGGGTGGATGAATTATTTCATCACTTGTATCTGCAAAAAGGGTAGGGTGGATGAATTATTTCATCACTTGTATCTGTAAAAAGGGCAGGCTGGATGCCCCTCACAAACGGAAGAAAAAGGAAAGAAGAGCCCATCAAATGTAGCAAGAACAACTCACCCGTTTGAGCGGCTTCCTGTCCGGCATGGCTCGCCCGTCTCCTGTGGCCGGCTCCTGGAATAGACAGTCGTCACAGTCACAGGGCGGCAGTGCCCGGATGATCTCCCCTTCCCCCATCTGCTCCATCATGGTCAGCATCTCGTCCTCGCTGATGGAGGCCAGGGAGGCGGTGGTGGACAGGGAGGAGGTGGAGGAGGAAGAAGACAGACCCCTCTCCCTCCCTACCAGTCCGCCGCTGATTACACCAGTGCTGCTGCCACCACTACCACTACCGATAGTGGTACCAGTACTGCCACTAACACCGCCACTACTACCGCTACGGCTGTGATACTGATGTGGCTGTTGATGGTGATGTTGTTGTTGGTGGTGTTGTTGTTGTTGATGTTGTTGTTGGAGGAGGAGGTGGTGGATTTGATGATTTATGGTGCGGCGGGGGCTTGTGGGTGGCTTAATGTGGTTGTCCAGCTTATCATTATTGTTGTTACTGCTTCTTCTGTTCTCATCATTACTAATGCTGAAATCATCCTTGCTTTTATCGTTATCACTGTTGTTGTTGTTAGTGTTACCGTGCATGATGTAGTTTCGAGAGGAGAAGGACGAGACAGAGGATGCCGTCGCGACAACCGACGTGGGAGAAGAAGACGACGAAGAGAATGAAGGAGGGAATACTGATAAGTCCTGGGGAGATAGTATTACTGAGGAGGAGGGGGGATGGGTGGTGGCTACTGCTGTCGCTACGACAGCGCTGATGGTGAGGTCACGGTTTCCGGAAGCTTCTTCCTCAGTGATAAAGATGTCGTCATTAGCGTTGTCATATTCCTCCTCATTGTCCTTTCTCTCAATCTCGTCATCACCCCGCTGCCTAAAAGAGGCGTTTCCGGGCAAGACCGGAAGCGGGGAGGCAGAGGGCGATAACTGCCACAAACCGCCTGACGAACGTTCACTGTACTGTACACATGTCCCAGCCACAGTACTTGTTGTATTGCTAAAGTCACTGCTGCTTTCGTAACTGACATTACGTACGACAAAAGACTCGTTCCCGCTCGCCATGTGCGATCGCCAGTCTGTCACCTTCACTGTCGCTCGTACTTCAGATTTGGACACATAACAGCCATCTGCACTCCCTTCAGCCTGCGCTAAATCTGCATTGGGCATGGCTGCCTCTCTACTGTCCCCGCCCACTTCGTCCACAGGCTCCTCCCCTTTGCCACTGCTCATCCTTGACTGACAGCTGCAAGCGGGCAGAGAATCGTCTCACTCACACTATAATTGTCATGTATACACACGCACAGAGTTGTCTCTCTTGTACGTGCCCCGAGTATAGCCTCCCTTCTCTGGCCAAACAAGCCACAGCACAAGTCACTCCGGAGAAATTGTTTGATGATGACTCACGACATATGTATCGATCGCACTCACACCTTGCACACTGAGATCGATTGCGCGCCAGGTGCTCATTCCAATAATTTCTCACCTTAATCCAAAATAGCGAGAGACACGTTGATAGCCGAACATAATATACTAGACTAGAATTACAATATTTAAACAACTAGGCATACACAAAGCCACCAACACATACGTCATCCGGACACGAATCGTGGCTTCATGCACGAAAATAAAATTCTGTGACCTTAAAGGTTCAAATAACGCTTGGCACTGAACAAACACCCCCCCCCCCCAAAAAAAAAGCAACAAAAAGCAAACAACAACCCCCCCATGTATATAATACATATAAAAGAGAGACGACTTACCCCAAACGTGTTTTAACCGTCCTCTAAATGTTCAATTAAGATTGTACTAAATGACTACTCTACCAATGTTTACAAGCTTAATCGTCATGTCTTATTAAATCAAAAGCCACGAAATTCGATTTTCATGAAGGCATCATCAACAAAATCTGAAATAAGAAAGTTCGAGATAATCCATTCACTAAGAAGTATTACTGTAGGCGAAGAACAGGAAAAGGTCGATATTCTACGTAAGGGCCCATATATATGCAAGGGTAAGGAAAGACTTTTTGTTTAAACATACCAATAAAAGACCACGACATTCCTCTCTAAAGTGCAGAATAACTGTCCCTGGTTATCGGCCAGTGTCAGAGAGGAACTTCTCCATGTCACCACATTGACGCATCGTTCTGCCTCGAGAGCAGTCAAGAGTGCTCGCCCCTGCCATAAACTACGGTCATAATATCACAAAGGGCGTCTACGATATAACTTATTATGACTCTTCATTTAAGGTTAAATTTGTGGTGGGCAAGAGGGGGTTGTAAAACTGTCACGAGGTAAGAGGAATGTCAATTTGATCAACAGTTTTATCCTTACAGTCGGGGGAGTGGAGAGTTGGATCAAGTCTGATGACTTACTAAAATGATTAGCTGATAGTTTGTACAGCAGTTCACTGCAAGTCAGCGCTATAATAAAGGAATACCACAACTATCAACGCCACAGACTCACAGTTATTGAATTACAGATATTACGTGTGTGCGTGTGTGTGAGAGAGAGAGAGAGAGTTTG